CTCAGTGTACACTAGATGCAGTATAGGGCCACTACTCAGTGTACACTAGATGTAGTATAGGGCCACTACTCAGTGTACACTAGATGTAGTATAGGGCCACTACTCAGTGTACACTAGATGTAGTATAGGGCCACTACTCAGTGTACACTAGATGTAGTATAGGGCCACTACTCAGTGTACCCTAGATGTAGTATAGGGCCACTACTCAGTGTACCCTAGATGTAGTATAGGGCCACTACTCAGTGTACCCTAGATGCAGTATAGGGCCACTACTCAGTGTACCCTAGATGTAGTATAGGGCCACTACTCAGTGTACCCTAGATGTGGTATAGGGCCACTACTCAGTGTACACTAGATGTAGTATAGGGCCACTACTCAGTGTACCCTAGATGTAGTATAGGGCCACTACTCAGTGTACCCTAGGTGTAGTATAGGGCCACTACTCAGTGTACACTAGATGTAGTATAGGGCCACTACTCAGTGTACCCTAGATGTAGTATAGGGCCACTACTCAGTGTACACTAGATGTAGTATAGGGCCACTACTCAGTGTACACTAGATGTAGTATAGGGCCACTACTCAGTGTACACTAGATGCAGTATAGGGCCACTACTCAGTGTACCCTAGATGTAGTATAGGGCCACTACTCAGTGTACACTAGATGTAGTATAGGGCCACTACTCAGTGTACCCTAGATGTAGTATAGGGCCACTACTCAGTGTACACTAGATGTAGTATAGGGCCACTACTCAGTGTACCCTAGATGTAGTATAGGGCCACTACTCAGTGTACACTAGATGTAGTATAGGGCCACTACTCAGTGTACACTAGATGTAGTATAGGGCCACTACTCAGTGTACACTAGATGTAGTATAGGGCCACTACTCAGTGTACACTAGATGTAGTATAGGGCCACTACTCAGTGTACACTAGATGCAGTATAGGGCCACTACTCAGTGTACACTAGATGCAGTATAGGGCCACTACTCAGTGTACACTAGATGTAGTATAGGGCCACTACTCAGTGTACACTAGATGCAGTATAGGGCCACTACTCAGTGTACACTAGCTGTAGTATAGGGCCACTACTCAGTGTACACTAGATGCAGTATAGGGCCACTACTCAGTGTACACTAGATGTAGTATAGGGCCACTACTCAGTGTACACTAGATGTAGTATAGGGCCACTACTCAGTGTACACTAGATGTAGTATAGGGCCACTACTCAGTGTACACTAGATGCAGTATAGGGCCACTACTCAGTGTACACTAGATGCAGTATAGGGCCACTACTCAGTGTACACTAGATGTAGTATAGGGCCACTACTCAGTGTACACTAGATGCAGTATAGGGCCACTACTCAGTGTACACTAGATGTAGTATAGGGCCACTACTCAGTGTACACTAGATGTAGTATAGGGCCACTACTCAGTGTACACTAGATGCAGTATAGGGCCACTACTCAGTGTACACTAGATGTAGTATAGGGCCACTACTCAGTGTACACTAGATGTAGTATAGGGCCACTACTCAGTGTACACTAGATGTAGTATAGGGCCACTACTCAGTGTACACTAGATGCAGTATAGGGCCACTACTCAGTGTACACTAGATGTAGTATAGGGCCACTACTCAGTGTACACTAGATGTAGTATAGGGCCACTACTCAGTGTACACTAGATGTAGTATAGGGCCACTACTCAGTGTACACTAGATGCAGTATAGGGCCACTACTCAGTGTACACTAGATGTAGTATAGGGCCACTACTCAGTGTACACTAGATGTAGTATAGGGCCACTACTCAGTGTACACTAGATGTAGTATAGGGCCACTACTCAGTGTACACTAGCTGCAGTATAGGGCCACTACTCAGTGTACCCTAGATGTAGTATAGGGCCACTACTCAGTGTACACTAGCTGTAGTATAGGGCCACTACTCAGTGTACACTAGATGTAGTATAGGGCCACTACTCAGTGTACCCTAGCTGTAGTATAGGGCCACTACTCAGTGTACACTAGATGTAGTATAGGGCCACTACTCAGTGTACACTAGATGTAGTATAGGGCCACTACTCAGTGTAAGGAGATGTAGAGTTGGAGCAGCAGGTGGACTACCAGTAAATCTAATCAACACCACATCTCATACCTACATTCTCTCATACCTACATTCAGAAATCAGAGAGCGGTTCTTACAACAACGTTACGGATCAAACATTCGTGGGGGAGTGCGAGAAAGTTTCAAAGTTAGCAAACAACGCATCATTCTAGAACTAAATGTAGTAACTAGCTAGTAGTTAGAGCACTCTTAGAGTGGGCCTCTAGTCACTACTAGCGGGCTGCTCTAGTTGCAACTTTTTCCTCGGGTTTCTGGAACTTTGCAAAATTGAGATGAAGCCTTATAATTGAGGGAACGTTTTAAAAGAGATGACGCTTGCTAAGAGGGAGTGTCAACTATAGTGACATCATGTATAAATACCAACCAGTTAGGTAGTACAAGCTGACCAGAGTGAAATGTGGTAATTTGAGATGAAAATACGAGCAGAAAGTCGGAAGTGAAAAGTGATAGCATTGAAGAGATAACGTACACAGTGTTCACAACATTGTACTTTACTTGCCTTTATTCTACATCTGAGGAGAGATAAAATCTGCTTAAAAACTACCTATCACATATGTGCACTGTTAATGTAGTGCACTGTTAATGTAGTGCACTGTTAATGTAGTGCACTGTTAATGTAGTGCACTGTTAATGTAGTGCACTGTTAATGTAGTGCACTGTTAATGTAGTGCACTGTTAATGTAGTGCACTGTTAATGTAGTGCACTGTTAATGTAGTGCACTGTTAATGTAGTGCACTGTTAATGTAGTGCACTGTTAATGTAGTGCACTGTTAATGTAGTGCACTGTTAATGTAGTGCACTGTTAATGTAGTGCACTGTTAATGTAGTGCACTGTTAATGTAGTGCACTGTTAATGTAGTGCACTGTTAATGTAGTGCACTGTTAATGTAGTGCACTGTTAATGTAGTGCACTGTTAATGTAGTGCACTGTTAATGTAGTGCACTGTTAATGTAGTGCACTGTTAATGTAGTGCACTGTTAATGTAGTGCACTGTTAATGTAGTGCACTGTTAATGTAGTGCACTGTTAATGTAGTGCACTGTTAATGTAGTGCACTGTTAATGTAGTGCACTGTTAATGTAGTGCACTGTTAATGTAGTGCACTGTTAATGTAGTGCACTGTTAATGTAGTGCACTGTTAATGTAGTGCACTGTTAATGTAGCGCTTGTAAAGATGACACACCTTCCTACCAAGATGAGACCACTGTGGTCAGATTACGTAAGGTATATTCTAAATAAACAGCACATAAAATCACCCACTTGATTGAAGCACTGTAGAATACCGCTGTTTTAACAGAATGTAGCTAAGAAAGCTGTTTAAGGAATGTAAGCCGCCCACCAGGAGTGTAACGGCTAAATGTACTGCTGGAATGTACCACACCCACCCTCCATTATCTGAGTGTACAATGTAGTGTTGAAATGTAGCCTGTTATCTCGCACATTCTAACAGCCTTATATTTCAGTCACTGACATCATCTTTACCGTTATTTAAATGTGATCCGACTAAATGGTCTTCATTAAACGTCAAATATTGCGTCAGTAGTACGGGATACGTAATGGAAACGATAGTTATCCTATCAAACACTGCACTAGTAATACTTTAAATATGTGTCAAATATATGATCAGAATTAACCCACTCTATACACTATTGACAGGACGCACACAAGACACAACAAAACACGTACCACACTGTTACACGTGTACTTCCCAGCCGAAACAATACCACAGCTGGCTAGAAGCAGCCTGCAGTTATATATCTGACATGTGATCTGACACAAGATTCTGCACACTGCTTTAGATGATATCTGATAATCACGAGTGGGATGTGAGCCTCACCTCTCAGATGAAGGAGATAGTGCACTATAGTGGGGGGGGGGATAGTGCACTATAGTGGGGGCCGGGGGGCTACTTAATGTATTCTCAGTATCTGGAAATGACGACTGTCCAGGCTCACGAAACTAATACACATATCACCTTACTGAGGGATGTGGCGGGAAATCCCCCTTTCTAATACCAGTATCACCATGGCAACAGTGGGACAATCCAGAGCTAGTGGGGTGTAAGGTGGCACACATTACAGCTACATGTCCTGTTCTCACGTGATCAATGCTGTGACTCTGATAATATTTATAACTATTCGACACTTTTCTTGGAAGATACATATATATATTCTATGTATGAAAGCTTGTGAATAAAAGGACGGAAAGTCTTAACTTATCTAAATACATATTATTGTGTAGGAGTCATGCAGTAATAACAGTTACATTTTTCTAAATCCAGAACAAAAGTGATAATTACGGTTAATGTCATCACTCCACGCCTACTACACTCCACGCCTTACAGCAACCAGGGTACATTTAGGAAACATCTGCTATCTGTTTAATAGAACAATAGATACGTATCTTCTATAGAATGCAATTGTTGGCGATAGAACAGCACACAGTATACCCAGTATACACTATACTGAAATACTCTAGCAAGGAGGCTGTTGTCTGGATAAATCAGTAGTTCAGCATTCTTTATTATAACAAATTAGAGTTTATCAGAACCTACCAATTTTATATATGCAGGCTATGACTTATGTCAAGGAAGTTATCTACAGTTCTTCTACAGCTAACTTAAGATGAATGGTAATGAGTTTGTAATTTGATTCCCATGGGCTTTCTGTGAAATGTAGTAGCATCTGGTACTGATTAGGAATTTATTCCGAACAAATTCTACATAATTCCATGGAAGTGTCTTAAGTATAAGATCTACATAATATTGTACAAGTCTTACTTACTAGCGGCCTGGTTTTTCGCACAAGTATTCTTTAAAAAACTGGAATGATTCGTTTCATACAATTTTTTCGGTGAATAACAAAAGGATCCATATACTAAATTAAGTTGGAAACAAATGTTAATAATCAATCATTTGATATATATCACAAAAGTTTTCCTAATTATCATTCATGTAACACCACAAAGTTAATGACCAAAGAAAATTTGGAAAAAACCCAAATTTTTGTACCGATTCTATATAGGCGCATGTCAAATGGCAATGACTAAAGAAATGAAAGCATCGGGTATCTTAAAAGAAATTAAAATTTTCATAAAACAAATCTCTAAAAATGAGGCGAGGATCCCGTATTGGTCCCAGGTTAACTTAGAAAATTTAGAAAAGCACTATAACTTAGGATAAATCATCAATCGTCATCTAGTGACTTCCGAACGTCATAAAAAATTAAAGGAAATTTTAATCACTTTTCAATAAGGAAAGGGGTATAATTAATATAGAAAATGTTTTTAACTTGAACGCTAATATTGCAATTAGTGGCCAGCAAATTGATCAATTAAAGCGTCATGACATCGAACCAACCATCCAAAAACTCCTAAAATGAAACAAGTAAGGACTGTATATAACATCTAGATGAGTCGTTTTAAACGCCTTTATAATACTATAAAATAAGCATACATCATATATTGTTCATATGACATAAATCAACCCCAAAGGTAACCGAGAGACCTATATTATGATTTATGTTGTTACACATATAATATTATATACGGATCAAGGTAGCACACAGATTTGTCAAGACATGTCAGCAGCACTATGGAGCGCACTACGGAGCGCTGTGTTGCGCATTGCACGCGAGTCCCAGTCTTGCGCGCTAACTTTAGTCTTTGTCCCCTGCGTTATCCTCAACGTCTTCTTGTTCACTCATCCACAAAGTGAGATTGTCTCGGAGAAGCTGCATTATTAATGTGCTATCTTTGTAACTCTCCTGGTCAAGGTTATCCAACTCTGCTACAGCCTTATCGAAGGATTCCTTAGCGAGTTTGCAAGCTTTCTCAGGACAACCTAAGATATTGATAAAATTAAGAAGAGTTGAACTGTTCAGAGCACCTTTAATTGGAATATCTTGAATCAGAGTATCTAGTATTTAATATCGGCATCAAAACGAACGATGCAATGATGCACAACTGAAATGCGATCTTACCTTCAATTTCGTAGTGGAAGACGGAGTAGTTAAGTGCAAGTCCCAGTCGGACAGGGTGGGTGGGCTCCAGGTTTTGTGCAACGTCAGTAGCCTCATCATAGGACTTGTGGGACTGTTGTACAACCTCGTCCTTCTTCTCGGCGTTAGCTACCTCTGCCAGGTACCGGTAATAATCTCCCTTCATCTTCATGTAGAACACCTGGCATATGTTTTAGTTACAAATAATATAAACCTTCGATTCATATACAATAATACATCTAACTAGCACAGAACCTTTATTCAGGCCCTTGACAGAATTAGAATCAGAGAAAAGAAAAGAAACCTTGCTCTCGTGTTCGCTGGCATTCGGAATAAGATATTCGTTGAGCAGACCCAGTACGGTCTCGCACAGGGCAGTCAGTTCATCTTCCACCCTCTTCTTGTAGTCCCGAGCTAATCCTACCTTCTTCTCGTCGTTCATCACCTGCAATACCCTCAATTAACAAAGCTATAAGTAATGCGGTTAACAATGTGCAACCTATTTCACAGCATTAATCACGATTGTGAAGGCAATTGCAAGTCCACTGAAGCCCTCTTTATTAAAAAAGGTACAATCTATATCCCAGCTTCTGAATCCTAGGTATCACACATTTCAAGTTTGCTGCATCCAGGGCAGGTCAGACCAGTATATTCACGGAGCTAGACGACCGTCTTATCAGTATCTTCAGATCAACATTTCTATCCAAATTTAAGGCTACAAGTTCGAGTTTGCCGGCTTCAAGAGAAGCTAAAATTAATTTCTGTGATTGAGTGATCATTGTAGAAATGAAAGTATCAGATATATTAAAAGAAATTAAAATTTTCATAACATAAATTCTAAAAATGAGGCGGGAATTTGTCCAATATTGTAACAAACAGTTAAATCATCATCAGTCAACAAGTGACCTCGAACAACAAAAATCAAAGGAACTCTCAATACTTAATAAAGTGAGGTGAATACAAGTGTGGTTAACGTAGAAAATATTTTTAGTAGAAAAAAATTCTTGTGACCAGGAAGATAATATTTTTGAGTCCGAAATGAATACTCCTTCATAATATCGTACCAATACTGGTAATATCCAGCTCGATATTACAGAGCTAGGAAGATGTTAGAAAACCTAGTCATTAAAACGAGTTACAGTATGCACGACGAATAATTGATAGAAATATTCTTAAACAGAGACCCCGAATGTTTAAAGTTTCATTAGGACAGCTAACAAATATTATACGGGCAGGTCACTGAGTTCTTGTATCATGGCAGCATTAATATGAAGGGTCCATGGTCACATGTGACCCAGTCAATGGTCCACTACTTATTCTTTGTCTCCTGCAGCCTCTTCTCCGTCTTCTTGTTCACTCATCCACAGAGTGAGATTGTCTCGGAGGAGCTGCATTATTAATGTGCTATCTTTGTAACTCTCCTGGTCCAGGTTATCCAGCTCTGCTACAGCTGCGTCAAACGAATTCTTGGCAAGTTTGCATGCTTCGTCAGGTTGCCCTGAAAATATCCATAATTGAATCAAAAACCCCACAATCATGATGGTATGAACTCTCCCCTTTAGATTGTAGCAAGTAGAGTTTACATTCATCTGCACAACTATTCTCGATAGCTCGAGCGATGGGTCAGTCAACTAGTGACATTATCATATCATGCTGGTTTTTATGTGTTCAGCTAAAATTGTTTAAAGCTTACTGATCGGCAGCCTTTTAACTTGGTTCGATCATTTGTCTAACATTATGTAGTCCACATATTATGCTAGAAGTTTAAAACCACAATATATGCACATCTGATGTTAATCAGAAGCTGTGATAAGAGTTATAAGGCAGTGTTTTAACTAGTTGAGAGTTAGCCCTGACAATGTATGTGGGCACTGCTAAAGAGCGGGTTTTAATGGTTCTTTAATATGCAAGCAAGATTAACTGCACCCAGGTCACTATAACCCCTCTTCAATTAGTGACAGATTAACCAATTAGTATGGACTTAACACTACTGGTCATGGTATGAGCGGGTAGTAGACACAATCTCTAAACTTCATAAATAATGGCAGGAGCCAAAAACATTTTACATAAACAAAGGTTCTTACCACCAATCTCGTAGAAAAAGACGGAATAGTTGAGAGCTAGTCCCAGTCTTACTGGATGAGTGGGGTCCAGCTCATCTGCAACCTTGGAGGCTTCCTCATAGGAGTCGTGAGACTTCTGTACCACTTCTTCTTTCTTTTCTGCACTGGCAACTTCAGCTAGATATCGGTAATAATCACCTTTCATCTTCAAGTAGAATACCTAAGAGCGGACTTCACTGTATAAATTCAGAACCATTTCTTAAATCGTGTAGCTCATAATCTGAAGCCCAATAACTTCTACAAAAGATGGTTGATAAGACGGTTGATAAGACAGTAAAACCACTGCACCTGGCTCTCAATTTCTTTAGCATTGGGAATTAGGTGGTCGTTCAAAAGACTGAGGACTGTTTCACACAAGGCGGTCAACTCCTCTTCCACATTCTTTTTGTAGTCCTTTGCAAGAGCTACTTTCTTGTCATCGTTCTGATTCATCACCTGCAACAGGAGCCAGCATTTATTGCGGTTCTAGAGCAAATTTCGGAGCATTATTTTACTTTTCGGGCCATTTTTAAAGAATAATAACGACATACAAATTGTTGAAGATTTGTATAAATTTTGCGCCAGTGCTCCTGCCACAATAAATGCTAACCCCTGATCTGAGTACAGAAAGCAAAACAGATAAAACATCAACATCATCAACTACTAAAGAATAATCACTGAGTCACAAAATGCATCATGTGCAATGCATGGAAAATAGCGTCTGCTCTTTGGGAAAAGATAATCACAAGTCATGTTGCAATACAAAAAATAGTTGTTGGAATTGAGGTATAACGACATTCAAGTGTATCACAGTAACCATGGTAACATTTAACATGGGTAAAACTGAAGTATTGGTTATATTCAACTAAAACCTCCTCAGTAAATCATCAATTGGGATGACCCACTTGTTTTTACTACGAAATCAACTTGTTTTTGACACGGTGAAAAAGCTACGGTTGTGATCTAAAATTTAGACACTTTGATTTGCAAAACTTTACTGTGGGCTTCTTCAACATCATACAATGCAAAATTGTACCTGATTTATTTTATTTCAAACAAATGAATGTTGGGTGATCGTGATATGGAAATGGTTTCTAGATTTGCTAGAATAAGTTAAAGGTCTAACATGCTCGTCGCTCTACTGAAACCAACATTTTATCAGCTTTTTGATCTTACATTCCACTGGCTTTTAAATAATGTTTTACGGCTTCATTTTTCCGCCCAATGAGAAATGTGTGCGACCTGGCTTCAGAAGCTGAGAAAACAACAAAAGAACAGTGCATGGGCTTCCTTAAGGGATTCTTCCTTACCTTGGTCTCCAGTGAAGAGAGGACCCTCCAAGAAGATCGTCGGGCACCGACAACGTTCTTGTAAGCTACAGAGAGCAGGTTTCTTACTTCCTGACTCAGCTCGGTGCTGGCTTCTGTGACCTGGAGAAGAAACATCAGCAAGTTGTATAGCTAGCTGAACGCTTAAGCATCATGGAAAGTTTAATGATTTCGTATTTCTTGGGTTTCCTTTTAAATATGGAGTTTCTCAAAATATCGCTGTTTCCTGCACGTTTCAAGCTTACCTTCTTCATGTAATCAGCCATGTCATCGTAACGTTCAGCAGATTCGGCCCATTTAGCGAGGATGATGAGGGTGTCGTGGTCGTTCAAGTCAGTGGTCATTTCCTTGCTGGCAGAGACAACGTCACTTGATCAATAGACTGACACTTGTGTGCTATAACAAGATTAAATGTTAACATCCTTCACTTATTTTCTGACAAGTGTAACAAATAATTCGTAATTAATAATAATAATAATTTCAAAACGTTTTTGTGAATGCACATGACTTCACGGTTGTGTTGACCGTTGGTAGATATAAACATATTATGGTGGTAAGAACTATTTCAAGATGCAAAGGAATTGGATCATTGAAGTGAGTTGAGAATATAGGAAACAATAACGGTCTGGTAGTATGGCAAAACAAAAACATGTAAATAATTAATTGCTGAAAACACAACAAAACACAACATAATACAAGATGTGATACGAAGCATGCTACACTGTCGACTAAATATGTGCCAATTTATTTGATCTTGACAAATGGTAATATATCAACTTAAATTAAATACCTTTCTTTTGTATCGAACAGAATACCAAAATTACAAATTCTAAGCAATACAGAAATAGTCTTGAAAACAATGTATGCAGCCGGGTCGAAAATGACTTTAATTTTACTTAATATGGGATTCTAACAGTTGCCATCTAGTCCCAAAATAAAGATCATCACCAAGGCAACCATAAATACAAACATAGCGATTTGAAAATAAATGTATCTAGTTGATGAATAAAATATAAACCATCTTTTCAAGGGCCATGCCCACTTCAAGATACTGAAGGTCTAAAACAGTTAAAATAAATGCTTTTTTCTTAGTTCCTTGATCCTTAGGTGAAAATTGTCAAAAATATCATACATAGCCATTAACAAAATTCACTTGGTAAAACATAAGAAATTTTCAAATGAGATGAATTTTAAACTTAAACATCTCGATAATTTTCTGTATTCTGGCGGCCAAATGTATATCTGGATTAGGTTCAAGTAGACTGTTCAGAAAACACAGGTGATTGTTGTAGATTTAAGTATGCAATATGCTCCTAAAACAAGAACTCTTCAAATATTTCTATATTGCATTATTTACAGATATCAAGGCAAAGTGAGTTCGAGAATTAGGAACAATGTGAAAAACATTATATTCCTTACATTCCTCCTCTACAGTCTACATAATTGCGAACATGATGACAGCAGACAGATTAAGATCGATTAAATAAGTACAAAGATAATTAAATCACCTCCAGGGCTGTGCCAAGTGAGTATAAATTTATGTTTAATTCTAAACTTACCGAATTGGTAACCAAATGAACTACAAATATAAGCTTAGAATTTGATAATAAACCAACAAATACTTTAATGACAGTTGAAAATGAGCACATACAATAACAAAACGAATATTAACTTCTAGACCTAAAATACATGATGCAATTCAATTACATGTTATATAATAAATATGGTTTTACTGTAACACAAAAAATCATTTCAAATCAATTTCTTCTGGAAAATTCCTGATTCACTCATATGAAATAGCCAGCAAAGTTCACAACGGTTCATATCTATGTCCTAAGTGAGAATTATCGTAATTACAAGCCTTATTGATTTTCATCCTCATCTTCTCCATCTGCACTCCAGAGGGTAAGATTGTCTCTTAACAACTGCATGATTAACGTGCTGTCCTTGTACGATTCCTCCTTCAGATTATCAAGCATACTGATTGCATCATCAAATGCTTTCTTTGCAAGATCACATGCTTTGACCTTGTCATCTAGAATTTCAAAGTAGTACACAGAGAAGTTGAGAGCAAGGCCCAGGTGGATAGGATGTGTGGATTCCAACTCTTTCTCAGAAATATCCCATGCATCCTGATACACTTGCCTAGCATTATTTATGCTGTCCTTTTCATCAGACTCCTTCTGAATTTCAGCAAGATATCGTAAATAATCTCCTTTCATTTTCATGTAAAACACTTTCTCTTTACTTTCACTGGCATTTGGTATTAAAAGGTCATCAAGAATCCTCAAGACTTCATTACAAAGATCTGTTAACTCTGCTTCGATTTTCTCCTTGTAATTTTTTACTTGAGCTAATTTAGCATCGCTTTCGTTGAGCTTTTTTTCGATACCACACATGGCTCTCCAAGATGACCTCCTTTGTCCAACAACATTCTTATAAGCGACTGAGAACAGGTTTCGGTCATCCTCTGAGATGTCTCCATTAAGCGCTTCAATGTGTTTCCTCATCTCAAAGGACATATCATTATACCTTTCAGCTTGCTCTGCCAGACGAGCAATGGCAACATGGTTACTTGAAGTCATTCTGAAACATGGCCAGGTTAGTATATTAAAAACTTTTTCATAAATGTTTACTCAGAATAGCGAAGAAATCAAAATACACAACATTACTAATGTTTAAAATTCGTAATTGATAAGTGTGCTGATAATCTTAGCAGTTTTTTATCTCTTATCGCTGCACTGTAACTGCCCCTATGCTGGTAATGTGTTTCTCTTGAATACAAGTACAAGTACATGATGGAGGAAAAGGATACTATTCAAAGACTGTCAAGTTACTCTACCTTCACTCGAAGTGTGTGTGTGTGTGTGTGTGTGTGTGTGTGTGTGTGTGTGTGTGTGTGTGTGTGTGTGTGTGTGTGTGTGTGTGTGTGTGTGTGTGTGTGTGTGGAGTAAAACAGTTGGATCATGCTTCTCAGTAGACTGATGCTATACGCTGTGGTAATTAACATGAGATGTCAGGTTATACAATTAAAGAAAAACTATTGGATTACCAGGAAGGTAGGACCCCTAATGAGCACAGTTGAAGTAGCTGCAGACTCTGGTGGTCTCGGTCTGTGTCATCCTCTAAAGAACTTCGAATAGAAACAGGGCTGCCTGTTTACATGCATCCAAAGCATTTCGAGATATTTAGTGGTGCCTACCACAATCTGTGCAATAGAATCATCGATCACACAAGAGCTTTACTTACTACAGGCTAGGTGTGTGCCGTTACACATCAGGTAAAGAATATACTTTGTGAAAACTGGCCACGGGCCTAAATATTACATATCAATCAATTACAATTCATTAATATTACCAATATTAAAAACTATCGAAAATATTCAAGAAAGTATTCTCTAGCCAAAGGGCTCAATATTTAAATCTAAATCTTCAATATTGTCTGGTTTACATCGCAACTTGGGCCCTCTGTCCCCCCTTATCGAAATAACCGTTGTCTTTAATACCTCAAAGCGCAAGCGCTTTCAAGATATGTAACTGAGTCTGAATAACGCTGACCCGTTGGAGATTCCATCTTTTGTGCAAGCTTTTTAATCAAGCGTTGCGCTTCGACTCCCATGCCTCCTGTTGTGGAGAAAACTAAAGGTGTAAAGGTAGCTTTTTCCACTTCTAGGACCCTTGCATTATATGCTCTTTTCTTCTCAGTCTCGTGAGCCAAATACATCATAGGAATTGGTTTAGCGGCGTTGGTTGGAGCAGGAGCGTGAAACACTCTTACATCAAAAAATGCTCTTTCCAACGCATTCCAAACTGATCTTGCTGATATATCTAGTCGGGCTTGATCTCCAGTTACTGTACCTCGTGGTAACTGCATGCCGCTGAAGAAGAGGGGGCTCTGTCTGAACGTCTTTGCATTTGACTGTCCGCATGATATTAGCTATTGTATCTAGAAGTGAGTTATGCCTCAAGGTCACATAACCCCCAAGTTTACACGTGATCTGAGGGCATGGTTTGCGGAGTAGGAATCACCACAAGTACAAAGTTTTGGACAATCTTTCAGCTTCAGGTTATATCTTAAAGCTATAGCATCTGAAAACTGTTGCTTATTCAGGAGATAACCATAGCTTTTGAGTGGTAAGGTGGTTAGCCAGGAACTTGCACCCTTCTCTGCTGCTAGCTGTAACATAAAGAATATACTAAGTACAAAAAATCTCATGTCCAACTGAAGATTAATAATACGAAAATATGCTATTAGCTAAGAGCCTGTGTGTACGAGCTCTCTTGTAAAGTTAAAACCTGAAGTTGAGTTGATTCCACATGTTGGCAGTTAAGATTTAACTAGAATGTTACCATAGAGCTTTTAATGTGTTGCAGATTGCTGATGGTTGCCAGATGATGGTATTCAGACCACACATAGGAATGACGACACAAGCCCTATATGATACATACCTCCAAAATATATTTATAAAAGTTGTACGATATAGTGAAAAACTAACCAAATTAACTCAAGTACGTCATAAACTGAGTGATATGAACAAGACAGGTAGAGACTATAATAACCCGCCTCACCAACCAAATCTCTTACATCTGGTTTTGTCATAGTTTCGCACTACAATCAGCTTATTGGACTACTTGTATAAAATTATGAAAGTCAAGTGACTGGTACGCGGTAAATTTGAATTTTTGTTCTATTGTCTATGAACATTTTTCTATTAATATAATTTCTATAAATTGAAGCGTAGTAATTGCTTGGATCTTTTTTCGTGCTCAGTTATTATTTATATTCTATCACTTTAAACTTACTAACCATGTATAAATTTGTTAGGTGGGTGGGTATTTTAAAATTATCTGCTGAAAATTGATCTCTAATATTTATTATTAAAAAATTACTCATTGCAGCTGGTTACTTTAAAATGTTCATCATCCTCATCATCATTGCAGTTTAATTACATTATACAAGTTCAATAATGAATAATATAACAAGTTAAATAATATCATATTAGTTTATTGTTGATTGCGTTTTGTTAACAATTGTTACATCTCAATATAATTGTAATAATAATATACATTTTGGTTACCTGAGGACCCCAGGCTATTATGTTCATTAACATATAGATAAAGATTTGGCGGAATGACAGGCTGAGCGCGGCCCAGTAAACATTTTGGCCCAGTAACAAGTAAACATTTTGGCCTTATATTTCATCTAACCATGTGCTTTCGCGCCATTGCGGGCGCGCTTGTTTCACGGGAGGCTGGGGCGCGCCACTATAAGGGCTCTGGATAAAGTAAGCCTTATATTATTAACTAGATTACCCCACCAACAACCAAAATAACAGGGTTATCATGACATAATGGTAAATAGTAAAAATGACGAGAGACAGGGCCCTAAAATAAATTATTGCGGAACGTCTGATAAAACATTACATGTTACATGTATTGGAGGACTTCGCCGCTTCGACGCGCCGCGCGAACTAGCATTCTTGCTTCGCATCGTCGATCGTTGCTCTGCTTCGCAGAGCAACGATCTCGATGGGTTGACATCGTCAACTAAGTTACATGTAATGACAGGAATCACTTTTAAATCAAATGTCGGTGATGTTTGTATAAGAAGTTTTTGATTCACGATGTCAATCCTTCGCAGCTCGGTGAGGCACAGTGGTGCATCTTGCCGATCTACCGAGACGAATTATTTGATGCGCGGCGCACCCCAGTAGTGCATCGCGCTACAAAAGAAGTTTTTAACAATAATGAATGTGTTATTTATATACACAAGATAAAGAGGTTCAATTGCAATTGCAATATGTTCAAAACTAGGTTTCATGATTTTATTGTATCGAGCAGATAATGTTTACAAACTAGCCGCTACCCAATTGTAACTTTGTATGTTACAACCGACTTACGCGCGCGTCAAAATACTTTGCAACTGATGATCAACGATCAATTTTTAATATTTTTTAATATTTCATAAAAATATGACGCACTTATTTTACAAAAAGGTTTGATTCACGATGTCAATCCTTCGCATTTCGCCGATCTGCATACGTGGTTGCGAGAAGCATTATTTGATGCGCGCGCGACCCAGTAGTGCATCGCGCTACAACAAAAAGGTGGGATCGGGAATCCCACCGGGAAAGTAAAAAATGGCGGGCGCATGCTACTATAAGCGCTAGGGGTCTGGTCACCGGTCACCGCGCGGTTAAATTTAAATTTATGATACGTCTCCGTGTACATTGTTCGAGCGTGCTAAATCACTCTACAATCGATTTCGGATATTTTTCTAAAAGGGCCCCTGACAGTTGAAATCTACCTGATTCGTTGTATTTTCGTACGCTGATTCCGAATCACCGCACATGACAGAGGGTTTAAATGCTCCCCTAGCAAGATATCGGCAAAAAACTGTCTCCAGTCTCGATTACGTGATTTGACCATATAAGGAAGTTGGCTTAATATCTCGTCGGGGTTATCGGTTAGGGTTTCAGCATATGCTTATTGCTTCAGTTAGGGATTGGGCTTGTGTTATGGCCGTTGGGATCAGATTATAGAGGGTTAGGATTTTGCGTCGAATAGTCATATATGATTCAGAGCCATCTTATAGAGGACGTGTTAAAAATTTACGTGACAATCAACTGTATAGTGCATAGTGATTAATCATCATCCTACATTGTTAATTGACTGACCCAGCTACTAATTCGCAAAGCTTTGCATAAGAATCATGGAGAAGAACAAAAAGGCGCGCGGTATAGTAACCAGGTTTCGATCAAACGCTGCTATTTGTAGCCATTTGTGATTTTTCGTGGTCAAACGTCGCCAATATTAATAATATATAAAAGCAATTACCCTCATGATATGCAGCAATTTAATTGGACGAGAGCAACTGTGTCATGGCGCTCCTACTAAATTGCTCGTCCAAATTTTAAGAAAATTCTTGTGAATTTTCGTTAGGGTTAGGGTTGGGATTAGGGTTTATGTTTCATTGACGATGTCAACCCTTCCAGATCGTTGCTCTGCAAATTAACAAAGCAACGCTCTGGTTGACTGGTTTGCGTGGCGTGTCGAAGCGGCGAAGTCCTCCAAGGTTTATGTAAAACCGTTTTGTACGGCTGCAAAACCATAAAAACCAAAGTCACATGAAATTTTTGGGCGAGCAAATTAGTAGGAGCTGTATATATAGTAGTAATACGCCCAGCCAGTAAGCTTTGCTGGGTCCGCACGAACTCTTTTCACATTTCCCCCAAAAGAAAGTAACGAGCCATAGCACATATAATAATTGCTGGCACATATAATAAGCTGGCAACATGGGATTGATTAATGATTAATGATTGAGCTTGTCATTCAGCTGCAGCTTCAATGTTGATAGACATTATAGTCTGGGGTGCAGGGGTGAGGGGTCCCTGACCGTAGCACGTAGGTAAATTGGCAAGGCCCTATCTTCGAAAATTGTCCGTTTGTCTGCTTACAAGAAATCAGACAACCCATCAAACACCCAGGTTTTAGAACATTTAAAGATTTAATAACACTCGTCGAGACAATAAACATGGGGGTGTATCACTGTATGCATTATGGTTCAAAATGAATATGCTCGTGGCG